CCCTAGGGTCCTCGTAGAATAGGCGGAGCATGTCCTAACCTCCGGAAGTGCATGCTGGGGGAACCTCGTTGCCTGCTGATCACCTGTGCTGAAGACAGCTAATCAGCCAAGTACTGGCCATTGGGTCCCCGCATGATCCCCAGAGAAGCCTCACTAAGCCTAGACTTCCATGTCAGAACTAACCTCCCCCGGAACTACTCATACCACCCCCTCCCCATCTGCAAGCACTGATCTCCCACCCACCCAGAGGGGCTGGCCAGACATGCTGCATCTCTTTGCAGATTAAGAACCCCAAGACCCGGGGGAGCAGCAGCGGTGGCCCGGAGGAGCTGGGGGTGCTGCAGGAGGAGGAAGCAGCCGGCGGTGATGAGGATCGGGAGAAGGAGATCCTAATCGAGCGGATCCAGTCCATCAAAGAGGAGAAGCAAGTGTCTCTCTGATCCCTCACCACCCTCAGCTGCCCTGTCTGGTCTCCATCCACTGGCCCCTCCACTTGAGAGGTCTGGCTGTTAGGAGGTTGATGGGCTAGACTTAGCCCTGTGGTCCAGGGTCCATCTCATGGGGCACTGCTGTCCTATAACACAGCTTAGGACTGTTTAAACCCCCCACTTGGCCATCATGGTCCACAGGGAGAGAAGAGGCCACAGGGATGATGCCTGAACCAAAGTTGGCCTCAGCTAGGGTGATCCACCAATTTATTGTCCTGTCAAGAAGTGCATGCTGGGGGAACCTCGTTGCCTGCTGATCACCTGTGCTGAAGACAGCTAATCAGCCAAGTACTGGCCATTGGGTCCCCGCATGATCCCCAGAGAAGCCTCGCTAAGCCTAGACTTCCATGTCAGAACTAACCTCCCCCGGAACTACTCATACCACCCCCTCCCCATCTGCAAGCACTGATCTCCCACCCACCCAGAGGGGCTGGCCAGACATGCTGCATCTCTTTGCAGATTAAGAACCCCAAGACCCGGGGGAGCAGCAGCGGTGGCCCGGAGGAGCTGGGGGTGCTGCAGGAGGAGGAAGCAGCCGGCGGTGATGAGGATCGGGAGAAGGAGATCCTAATCGAGCGGATCCAGTCCATCAAAGAGGAGAAGCAAGTGTCTCTCTGATCCCTCACCACCCTCAGCTGCCCTGTCTTGTCTCCATCCACTGGCCCCTCCACTTGAGAGGTCTGGCTGTTAGGAGGTTGATGGGCTAGACTTAGCCCTGTGGTCCAGGGTCCATCTCATGGGGCACTGCTGTCCTATAACACAGCTTAGGACTGTTTAAACCCCCCACTTGGCCATCATGGTCCACAGGGAGAGAAGAGGCCACAGGGATGATGCCTGAACCAAAGTTGGCCTCAGCTAGGGTGATCCACCAATTTATTGTCCTGTCAAGGTGGAAGTATGAACAGAGATGCAGCTGACAAATTACGCCAGGAGGTTGGGTGTAGTCCAGGCTACCTGGGCATCCTGTTCTTAGGAATAGGCTGGGGCACTCCAGACAGAAGAAACAGCATGTGCTAAGGTCCTGAGACAGAAACTCCTCACTAGCTGAGTCACAGATGCCTGGTTTCCCTCCAGTCTGACCCTTTGCTCACATGAACTTCACTGAGCCAGGGGCATCTGGGGTGAGGTGTGCTTTGGGAGTTGGGTTGGGGATGCTAGGGGGCAGAGAGTCCCATCTAGGAGCAGAATAACCTACTCTGTCCCCTACTGGCCTGGCACTTTTCCACGGGGCAGTCCTTCACCATGGAGCAGCCTTGGACACTGTGACCCCCTTCATCCCCAGGGAGGACATCACGTACCGGCTGCCAGAGCTGGACCCTCGGGGCTCCGACGAGGAGAACCTGGACTCAGAGACATCTGCCAGCACCGAGAGCCTGTTGGAAGAGCGGGCCGGGCGGGGGGCCTCGGAAGGTCAGTATTAAGGTAGCGTCTGCTTTTTTCCTTCCCATGTCCATACCCAGCAGGCCCCCGGGCAAGGGTCCATCTGCCGGTCATGAAGCTGCAGTAACCCTGCCATCTGTCTCTCAAAAGGGCCCCCCGCGCCTGCTCTCCCCTGCCCTGGCGCGCCCACCCCGAGCCCCCTCCCCGAGGCGGCCGCCCCTCCTCGACGAAGGCCGTCGTCCTTCATGACGGTCAGAGTGAAGACCCCCCGGCGGACCCCGATCATGCCCACGGCCAACATCAAGCTTCCGCCTGGCCTGCCCTCCTATCTCCCTGGCCGGGCGCCTGGCACACAGGAAGTTGCTGCCACAGTGAGGCGCCGAGAGCCACCGGCCCGCCGCCCAGACCAGGTACACTCTGTGTATATCACGCCAGGCACTCACCTGCCCACTCAGGGCCCTCAGGAGCCCCTGGACAAGGATGACCGGCCGCCTGGGGCCAAGCGGAGGTATTCGGACCCCCCAACCTACTGCCTGCCCTCTTCCTCGGGCCAGGCCAATGGCTGAGGGCCCTCAGCTGCCAGCATCCGCACGTCCAAGGACGGCCCAGTCACCGAGCTGGGCACCGGAGCTCCAGAGCCAGCATTCAGCGGTCTGAGAAGGATCCAGAGTGAAAAGCTCCGAGAGTGATGTGAGGCGGGCACTGACTCCAAGTGAGTTCAGGCGGGGAGAGGCCAGCTGAGGCCTGGCCGCCCTTGCTGAGCCGCCAGGTCACACGGAGGCGCCCGATCACAGCACTGAATCATAGCAGGCAGCCCGGCATCTCCCAACTCCCCTTTTGTACGTTTTCAAGGTCACTGTTTCTTTGTGCGTGGTTTACATAAGTTTAAACTGTAACAGCCTTAACAGAAGACCAAATTGTTTTTTTATATGTGTATGTACAAACTTTTATATTAACGCCCTGCATCTCCCTTATAACCTGGATGCGAGTCTTCAGAGCAAGCCCACACAGCCGCCAAGCTCCGGAGGCTCAGACCCACACTGAGGGGGCTGAGGGGGCTGAGGGCTGGGACTCTGCATGAGGGGTTTGGACACTTGTGGCCCCTGACTGCCCCGTACTGCGGCCCGGCTGCTGGCTATCCAGCCCATTCAAGGGAACAGTGGAGCCTTCCGTGGTGGTCAAGACTGTTGGCTAGAGCCAGGACACAAGGTGGTAGGCGGCCTCCACTCCAGGCACCACAGACCTCACGTTATTCCAGGGATACTCGAATGTGGCCATCACTGCTCGGTCTGTTGTGCCCCGGACAGAGAAGCCCATCTTGGCCCTGCCTGCCCCATGTGGCAGAACGAGCCCACAGCTCAGGACCGTTCACGGTGGAGAGGGCAAGGCCTGGGGTTGTATGTCTCTGCAAATCTACAGTGACAGGCTGGGCATCTGGCATCTACAGAGGTGGGGATTCCCCTCTTAGGCTGAGCCCACTCTCGCAACACCCAGACACACGGAGCTAGGTCTGGGACAGGAGACACTCACAGGCCATGTGAAATAAAGAAAAAGTGCCTAAGAGGTGTGTGCGTGCAGTTCCTACTCAGACAGTCTCCAGGTTGGCGGGTGGGGGTCAGGCATGCAGCCTCAGCCAAAAATGGTGATGGTGCAGGGCAAGGATTGAGCCCCTTTGTCTGGGAGGACTTCCATTGTTCCTCCAGCCAACTCCTTTTGGAATTTCACACAAGCGAGGTGGGCTTATTTTTTGGCTGTGCCATGCAGCTGATAGGAGCCTAGTTCCCTGACTAGGGATCAAACCCGCACCCCCTGCAGTGGAAGCTCCACCGGACCACCAGGGGGATCCCTGGAAGTGCTCTTTATTGATCCAGAAAGCTGAGGAAGCAGGCAGCTCATGGCAGAGCCACATTAAGTGAGGAGAGCCTGCTGTCCTGGGAGCTGCCTCCTGTCACACCTAGCCTCTCCCCAGCAGGGGCTTAAATGTCAGCTGAAGGGGCCATCTGCCTTGGGTGGGGAGTCAGACCTGGTGGACCCACTAGAGCCTGAAGCAACAGCACCACCACCATTACCTGGGGGAAGCTGGAAGCTCCCAGGTTGCAACCAGATCAGCAGTTGTGGGAACTGGCTGGCAGATGGGGTTTGTAGGAGTGGGGGAGTTAGAGACCATGACAAACCTGAGTTTAGATGGCACAAGCTGAAGAGGTGGCAGTCTAGTCCAAGGCCACACAGCTGGGGTGGGGCGGCCTGGGATTCAGACCCGGCCCTGTCTGACTCATGCATGTGTGTTTGTGTGTTCAGTCATGTCTGACTCTTTGCCACCCCATGGACTGTAGCCTACCAGGCTCCTCTGTCCATGGAATTTCCCAGGCAAGCATACTGGAGTGGGTTGCCATTTCCTTCCCCAGGGGAATCTTCCTGACCCGGGGGTCGAACCCACGGCTCCTGTGTCTCCAGCACTGACAGGTGGATTCTTTATCACTGAGCCACTTGAGAAGCCCTGTCTGGCTCTAGAGCCGACCGCCCCCCCGCCAACCCCATCAATAACCTGGGTTTGAGTTTGGACTCATCCATGGTACTTATAGGGCACCAAGGCCACTAATGTGGCCTGAACACAGGTAACCTGAAGGATGGGGAGATAGTTGAGGGATGTGCACCAGGCTTCAGCCCCTGTTATGTCTCCATCCTCACTCGGAGGGCCCACAGAGGGAGACTCGAACAAGGTGCCTTGACTTCCTGAGAATGCGGGTGGGGTTCTGTCCACGGGGTTCTGGGCGTTGAGGGTGACCCAGCCACACCGCATGCTCCCAGGTTTAGCTCATGTCACTGCCAGACTAACCGTTTCCCAAGAGCAGAAACAGGTCCAGAAAAAGTTAAGAAACAAGGCTACGACTGGAGGTGGAGTCAGGTCAGGGCTGGGACTGGAAATAATAGCCCCTAAGTCTTGGATTCCGAAGTCCCACGTCAGGGCCTCTCCTCGTGAATTCAGAGAAGACTGCCTGGATGCAGAAGGGCTCAGAGTGGGAAAAACTCAGGAAGGAGTGGAGAGAGGGGTAGAAATTTTGAGGTGGGGGGAGTAATGAGCACTTCACACTTTGCATGTGGGTCTTCTGGCACCGAATGACTTGATCCTTTCAACCTTTCCGGAAGGGTCAAGATGCTCGCAAGAATTAGCGAGCGATTCATACCGGAGTAAATGCAGACGGGATGGTGTCTCGCATTGAAACAAGACATTACTTCCGCCACCCTAAACAAGAATGGGACAGCAAACAAACAGGGCACTTCCGACCGGAAGGAGGCCACGGAAGGCACTTCCGCCATCTCTTAAGATGGCGCCGGCGGAAGGGGCGGAGTACCACTGGGTGATGATGGCAGCGTCGAGGCTGGAGCTGAACCTGGTGCGGCTGCTGTGCCGCTGCGAGACGATGGCAGCGGAGAAACGGGACCCGGACGAGTGGCGTCTAGAAAAGGTAGGGAATCCCGTGTTTCGTAAACCCCGAATCCAGGAGAGTGGTACCCGCAGCTAGAGGCCACCGGGCCCGACTCCCCCGCCCCGCCAGCCAGCCTGGCCACGCCCCTTCCGGGTGGTTCCGGCCACGTCCACCTGCTGCTCTCCCGCCTTCTCCCTGGGACTCAGCTGGTACCTCCTCCTGATACTTGGCTCCTCCTGTTTCAACCCCGCCCCCATCCTGTCCTCTCCCCTTGTTGGCTCTGATCTCTCTGAGCAGGATGTAGGGGTTGGGGGAGGACTGGGCTGACACCCCACTTTTTGTCCCCAGTATGTGGGAGCTCTCGAGGACATGCTGCAGGCCCTGAAAGCACAGGCGAGGTGAGTGCAGACGGCCACAGTGGTTCAAAATTGTTCTCCTACTGGAGACAAGGTCTCCAGTTCCCGCTAAGAACCTCCCCTCAACTGGGCAAAATAGGCTTTCCTTTTCCTCTTCTCCCCTTCCAGCAAACCGGCTTCCGAGGTGCTCAATGAATATTCTCGGAAGGTAGATTTTCTGAAAGGGATGCTGCAGGCAGAGAAACTGGTAAGCAGGGGCACCTCTGCCTGGTCAGCCTTCATGCTCACCTGGGGCCTGCCCCTCTGGTGACTGCCCTCTTCCTGCTTCTGCAGACCTCCTCCTCAGAGAAGGCACTAGCCAACCAGTTCCTGGCCCCTGGCCGAGTACCAACTACAGCCAGGGAACGGGTACCTGCTACAAAGACAGTGCACCTACAGTCACGGGCTCGGTACACCAGTGAGATGCGGAGTGAGCTGCTAGGCATGGTAGGGCTCCCTCCATAGTCCCCGGGAAGCTTTAGTTGGGGACAAGAATTTGTGCATGGAGGTGGCCAGAACAACAAATACTGTCCGGTGCAGGGACTAGGATACCCAACAGACAGGACCTGAACCATCAGACAAGGCTTCCCAACAGACAGGCATCGTGGCCAGAGCTTTACTAAATGAATAAGAGTTTCGTTACAAGACAAAAGTGGCACATCTACACTTAAAAGCCCCAGAGTTGGCTCAGAGCAAGGTTTGGCCCCTGCCTCACCACACATCAGTGAGTTTTTTTCATCTGTGAAATAGGATGACAGATACCTCTATGAGCACTTTCTGTGGATCTGAAAAATACCCTTCAAAATATGAACCCTTGTTTTCAGTTTATAGATGAGGAAACTGAGCCTCAGAGGTCTTGTCCAGGGTCCTGATTGAGGGTGGGGAGTTTCTGAAAGCAGAAAGGACAGGTCTGGGGGCATGGCATGGTTGGTGATTCTGTGCCTCTCCTTTTTTCCCACAGGACTCTAGTGAAGGTGAGACAGCATGAGAACAGGACTCAAGGCCTGGGACAGACATGTGTCCTTAGTGCCCCACATCCCTCGTGCCTAGCCTGGCTCCCACAGGGTGTTCACAGCCCAGGGAAACTGTGCCCAGGGGCCTTACCAAGTTATACTTGAAGGGGGTGCCAGGACAGAGGAAGGGGCCCCAGAGGAAACAGAGTTGGACACTCCCAGCCCAAGGGACTAAGGCTGGCTAGAGGGAAGGACCTGGGGCCTGGGGGAGCCCGGATGAGGAACACTTCCTAGCAGGGAATGCTCTGAAGCCTGACCTAGAGCCCACCTGCTGTGCAGCAGACAGAATGGGAAATGGCGTTGTGAGTAGCAGACACATCCCGGGCAATGGTCAGGATACTGGAAAACAGCAAACCAATTCTTCCTTTTTGCCTGCTTGGCTTGTTTTGCTTTCAGAGCCCGAACTGGATGTGAGGAAGAGAACGTGAGTATCTTCAGCCCTTGGGGAGGGAGCACTGCGGGGAGAGGGGAGTTGGGCAAACCTTGGACCACTAAAGCACAACCATGAGCATCTAAACCACCAATCAGGGGGTTCCCAGTGGTTCAGTAGTTAGGACTGTGTGCTTTCATTGCCAAGGGCCCGGATTCAATCCCTGGCTGGAGAAAAAGATCCTACAAGCTGAGCGGTGCAGCCAATAATAATAATAAAATTTAAATTAAAAAAAAACAAACCACTAACCAACAGCCACTTCTGAGGATGCTTTTTCCCAGAAGCCAAAACGAAAAAGGAGAAACAGCCCCAAGCAGGGCAGTAGCTGGAACTGTAACCTCTGGGGCCCTTGAAAACATGTTGGTCTCTTCCCTCCTTCCCCCACCCCCCGATCTCATACCCACTGGTCTACCCATCTCTGGGGTCAGTGGGGTATCAGGGCCCACACCAAGGGATGAGAAGCAGTCAGCAGCTGAGCTAGACCTCGTCCTGCAGCGACACCAGAACCTCCAGGAGAAGCTGGCAGAGGAGATGCTCGGCCTGGCCCGGAGCCTCAAGACCAACACACTGGCTGCCCAGAGTGTCATCAAGAAGGACAACCAGGTATGAGGACTCTGGGAATCCTAGAGCCTCTGGTTTGGGGCATCAAAGAACGCTTCCCAGAAGAAGGTCCCTATTGCTGGGGCTCAGCTGGATGACTAGGAGTTTGGCAGAAGTAAAAAATGGCATTCCCAGAAGAGGAAACAGCACTAGCAAGGGCCAAGAGGTATAGATTTACTCCAATACAGTAGAAAGAGGTGACACTTGAACCCAGTCCTGCTGACACTCTCCCTCCCTCACCCACAGACCCTGTCACACTCACTCAAGATGGCCGACCAGAACCTGGAAAAGCTGAAGACAGAATCCGAGCGGCTAGAGCAGCACACGCAGAAGTCCGTCAACTGGCTGCTCTGGGCCATGCTTATCGTCGTCTGCTTCATCTTCATCAGCATGATCCTCTTCATCCGTATCATGCCCAAACTCAAATAAAGACTTGGCCTGGCCTGTGTCACCTGTCCGCTCTCTGCCCTTCACCCTGTCCAGGGATGATACCCTTTGGGATTGGCAACATGATGGGAAGACCCTTGGAGCCCCCTGAGAGCTACAGAGAGTACATGACCAGGGAAGGAAGGAGGTCAGGCAGCTGGGGGAGGTGAGTCAACAAGCCTGCCTCCCATTTCCGCCCCACCCCAGGTACCTGCTTCACACTGGACAAGGCAGGGCCCATAGAGGCCCCAAGAACTCCCAATCTGATGAAGTAAGAGCCAAACACATTCCTATGGAGCCAAGGTAAGGTCTAGAGGGTGGGGGAGGAGTGGGGCCATGCCTGGAGGTCAGCCCGTAGGAAGGGTTGAAAAGTTGTCTCTTTGAGCTGTGAACGACGCCTGGATTCTTGGCCTCCAGAGGAGATGAATTCGATCCAGAGCCAGTGACAAGGCTTGATCGCTCAGACCTTTTGTGTAATAAAGTTTTCTTAAAGTATAAAAGAGAGAAAGCTTCTGACATAGACATCAGAAGGGGGCAGAAAGAGTGCCCCCTTGCTAGTTTTTAGCAAGAAGTTATATACCCATTAGCAAGCTGCTAATTAGAGAAAAGGAAATGTCTGAAAACTCAGAGTGGCACCAGGCCTCTCACCCACAACATGCGTTTTAAGATAACACTGGCACGAGGTGAGTCATCCCAGGCCATAAAACAATTGACATGGGGACTTCCCTGGTGGTCCAGTAGTTAACATTCTGTGCTTCCAATGCAGGGGGCCAGGTTCAGTCTCTGGTCAGGGAACTAGATTCCACATGCCTCAACTAAGACATGGTGCCACCAAATAAATTCTTTTAAAAAAAATTGACATGAATCTTGTAGAAAGGCAGATTTCCAAGCAAATACATAGTTGCACTAACATAGCTGAAGAGAACATTTCCATGAGTAAAGCATACTGGTTTGTTGAACCATTAAGGGTTCTGAGTCTTAGGCAGAACCTACTTACTGAAAGAGTCTAAGGTAAGTACATAGTTCATTAGCATAGCTTAAGAAAAACATTTCCGTAAGAAAAACGCATTTGTTAGCTAAAGGTTTGAGAAAAGTTCTTTTCAGGTGGAACCAGGTGTCATCATGGCCACACAAAATTTTAAAAGAAACCTTTTAATTTTGTATAGAGAAGGGGGAAAAGTCTGACACTTGTAGTTTGTTTCTTCCTGCCACTTAAGAGAGAGAGAGAGAAATATCTGACACTTGCTACCTATTTCCTCCATTTGGGGACCCCTAGCCTTCCTGCCTGTTACTCTCTCAGGGTGTCAGTGCTGGGCTTTCTTTGGGATTCAAAGTGATAATTCAGAGACAAGGCTTAGCCCAGCCACAGCCTAAGCTCTCAGGACATTGCAGATGCTTCACACAGTCACTCAGCAAACAAAAGAAAATCAGTGGAGACCCTGCCCTGCCCAGGTCATAGTCTGGGTGGGCATTGGAGTTGGGACCCTGGAAGGGGTCATGGAGTATGAGTCCAGAGGAATTATGGGTCCTGGGTTCTGCTTATCCCTACTCCGGATGTCAAGAGCAAAGTCTGTGAGGGGTGACTGAAGAAGCTTGGTAAGGAAGGGTGGACAGAAGGTGCCTGTCCCAGACCATCAAAGCATGAGCATTGTGAAACAAGCATGGAGTTGTCCACGTGGGCCCCACCCCCACTCACCAGCATAGGTGTGAAACCACCACTAGTAGCTTTTAAAATTCTGGTGGCAGTTTTTTAAAGCTTTATGAATGCTCCAGTGGCAATTTTTTAAAAATAGACCATAAGGAGGCTCATGCTTCTGACTCAGAGATGGTTCAGTGTTAGGAAGCATGTTAATAGCCATATTAATGCATCAGGAATCAAAATCATAGGGTGAAATGGTACCTTGTACTGTTCACAGCATCCATTACGCAAAGTCTCAATTAAAAATAATGAGCATTTCCTCACTGAATGGAAAAATCTCAAGTCAAAGGCAGTGTTGAGTTTAATGGGCAAATACTAGAAGTTTTACCATCAAAGTGAAGAAACTAAACCGAGGTGGAATGGAGGGATACTCAACAGTCCACCCATCTCCTCCAATGATTTAATATTGTCTGGAGGTGCTAGTCAATGCAACTAGACCACAAAAAAATTGAAAGAAAAGAATAAAATTATTCATAGATGATAAAATTATTTGTCTATATAAAAAGATCCAAGCAAACTAACTAAAACAGCTATTTCAGTAAGAGAATTTAGTAAACCAGCAAGAGGGTTAATGAATAGTTAAATTTTCTATATGCAAAAAACAAAGTTGCAAAACATATTGGAAGATCCTATTTATAATAGTAACAGCAAAGATACATTATCTGGTCAAATTAACACCCTTAGTATATAAAAAGCTCCTAAAAGCCAACAAGAAAAAAAAAAAAAAGATTTGCAGGAAATAAACAGGAAAACAAATACAAATGGTTTCTGAATTTTCTCACTCACCAAATTAGGAAAGATTTAAAACTTTGAAAGTACATGTCCAGGAAACTGATGTGATTGAGGTTGCAAGGGTTGTGGGAAAACCAGTTGATTAGAGCATTATTGGCACAAGCTCACTGGAAAACAACTTGACAGTTGATGCTGTTCAGTCGCTAAGTTGTGTTCAGCTCTTTGAGACCCTACGGACTTCAGCACACCAGGCTCCTCTGTTCACTCTCTACCAGAAGTGAAGTGAAGCGGCTCAGTGGTGTCCAACTCTGCGACCCCATGGACTGAGGCCTATAGGCTCCTCTGTCCATGGGATTTTCCAGGCAAGAATGTTGGAGTGGGTTGCCATTTCCTTCTCCAGATCTTCCCAACCCAGGGATTGAACCTGGGTTCCCCGCATTGTAGGCAGACGCTTTACCATCTGAGCCACCAGGGAAGTCAGAACTATCTACCAGTTTGTTCAAATTTATGTCCATTGAGTCGGTGATGTAATGTAACCATCTCATCCTCTGCTACCCTCTTCTTTTGCCTTCAAACTTTCCCAGCTTCAGAGTCTTTTCCAAGTCAGTTCAATCTTTTCGACAGTATCTTTCAAAATTAAAATACACAGATCTCTTTCCCCCGTGGATTCCGGGAAGTTTCACTTCTAGGAATTTATCCTACATAATCCTCCACAATTTGCCAAAGAAATGTGCACTTGAATCTTTTTTCTATAGTATTGTCCGTAGTGAGGAGAATTTGTCATTGACTGACTTCCGAAAGAAGAGAGAATTAACTGTGGCCTCTGGGAATAAGGGTGGGTGAGAAATTCACTCTGCGCTACGCTTCTTTTCTATTTGAATTATCTAAACATGCCTCCAGTGCTTATTTAAAGAACTATTTTAAACATACAGCTGCTAAGTAAACAGATAAGTTGGTGCTGTCGTTCAGTCGCTGTCTTGTCGGTCTCTCTGCGACCCCATGGACTGCACCACGCCAGGCTCCCCTGTCCTCCACTGTCTTCCGGAGTTTGCTCAGACTTCTGTCCACTGAGTCGGTGATGCTGTCTAGCCATCTCATCCTCTGCCGAAAGTTCTCCAAATAAACTGAGGGTCAGAAAGGGTGAGTCACCGGCCCCAAACACAGAAGCTAGCTGTCTCCGTCAGTCTCACCGCCAGGGAGTGGGTCCACTTCCCGGTTCCCCAGGCCCGCCCCCTCACCGCCAGCCCCGCCCTATATACCGAGGCCCCTCCCTGACCCAGCCAGTAGACTCCAGCCTGTAGTTGATGCCCCACACGGACTTCGGACGCGGACCTAGAGTCGGAGCCCCAAACGCTGGGACAGGTGACCCAAGGCAGGAGTGGTTCGTGCGGCCTGCCACCGGACCGGAGATTCCAAGGGTCTTCTCGGGGGCGCTGTCCGTGGGCTCCGCCTAGCCCTGAGGGAGAGATTGCGGGCCGCGCCGGGGTTAACGCGAGCCAATCCTGGGCTGCGCGGTACGTAACGGATTATTTGCATAGCGCTCTTCCGGGTTACGCACTCGGCGGCGGGCTCTGGGGCTCTCTGAGGCCAATGGCGTGCGTCTATGCAAATGAGGGCGGAGATGGAGTAAGTGCAGCGGGTGAAGGAGTTGGCCGCTCCGGGAGCCGCCTCCCAGTGAGTCCTCCCACCGTCCCACCTCCAATCATGTCCCCCTGCTGTGTCCACAGTCCGCCCGCCGACCATCCCCGCCACGCGCGGGTCGCGACCCTCCCCGGAGCACCCGCACACCGGCTCGGGGACGCCGGAGCGGCGCCGCCCCCAAGCGGATGCCCGCCCGAGAGCCCCCCCAGACCCATGGCTCCCGGGGGAATCTGCAGACCCGTCCGCCTGGCCCTGGTCCTCCGGTGAGTCTGAAAGGGAGGAGGGTTCCCAGGCCGAGCCCAGGCATAGAATTCATTTCCCCCTGTTTAAGGGATGACGGCTAACCCTCGTTAACTCCAAACCTTGATTCCTGCGCCTGCTGCAGCGACTGGTGTCTAGAGGCCCCAAACCCAGCGCTCCCCCAACTGTGTGCCAGCCCCATCCCGGAGCCCACAGGACAAAGCCCAAGAAGATTGTATTTGAGGATGAACTCCCCTCCCGGGCCCTCCTGGGCACCAAGAAGTCTACTAGAGCCGTCTGCGAGAGACATATGCCTAGGCCCCACCCCGTGCCTGACTATGAGCTGTGAGTGATTCCTAATTTCTTGGAACAGGGAAGGGGCACTGAGACTGGGGCTTTGACAAGTGAATGAGTTTGGTGGTTTAGTCGCCAAGTCGTGTACAACTCTTAGGAACCCATGGACTGTAGCCTGCCAGGCTCCTCTGTCCATGGTATTCTCCAGGCAAGAATAATGGAGTGGGTTGCCATTTCCTTCTCCAGGGGATCTTCCTGACCCAGAAATCGAACCTGGGTCTCCTGCATTGTAGGCAGATTCTTTACCAACTGAGCTACAAGGGAAGAGTAAGAGTTTACCAAATAGTAAAAAGAGAAGGGCATTTGGGGCAGGGAGCCCAAAAGAGACAAAGAAAAGCAAATTACACTGATTGTGGAAGAGTTCTTTGCACTCATACTCTGACCCCCTTTCAACCTGGTAGTAAGTACCCACCAGTGAGCACTGAGAAGGATCGGAACCGCTATGCTGCAGTATTTCAGGACCAGTACCCAGAGTTCTTGGAGCTCCAGCAGGAGGTGGGATCAGCACAGGCAAAGCTCCAGCAGCTGGAGGCCCTGCTGAACTCACTGCCCCAGCCCCGAAGCCAGGTCAGCACCCAGGTGGAAACCCTCACCCTACATCCCTTGCAAGTGGCCTAAGCCTGGCCTCTGTTAGCCCAGTGGGTTCAGATCTCTGGGCCTCTTCCTCCTCCAGGCTGGGCGGGCACCACATCACATGGGCCAAGGTCAGCCCTTGACAAGGTCCACCTTGTCTGAACCTCAGTTTCCCCATCCCTCCTTGGGTCCTGTGCTCCCTGAGCACCCGCTTCCTTCTCCCCTGGCAGAAGGAGGCCCATGTTGCTGCCCGTGTCTGGAGGGAATTTGAGAAGAAGCAGATGGTGAGTCATGCCTCTTGAGTCCTACAGCCTAGCCTTTGCACCACCCCCTCCACATACTCACACTCCCATGAGGCTGGGCACTTGTGCCCAGTTTCATGGAAAGAAAACTGAGGTTCAGAGAGGAAAAGACAAAAGCTCAAGCAGCTTGAGAGGCATAGGCCAGACTGCCACAAAGACTTCCCTGGATCTCGCCCTGCTCAGGACCCCAGCTTCTTGGACAAGCAGGCTCGCTGCCAATACCTGAAGGGCAAACTAAGGCACCTCAAGTCACAGATCCAGAAATTCGATGACCAAGGAGACAGCGAGGGCTCTGTGTACTTCTGAGCGTCCTGCAAACAGATAGAGGGAACCATCAGAGTGGGGGGCCCTACCCTGCCCTTCCTTCTCTTCTTCCCTCCTGATCTTTGCTGTTACTGCTGCCCCGCCTGGGGTAGCCATAGCCATGCCTGATTTTAAATGCCTTCACCTTTGAGGCCTAGATCTGATGGTCCCTCTTCCAGCAAGGCTTCCCAGAACCTGCAGGACCTCCATGGAGACCCCACATCCCAGTCCATCCCCTAGAAGCAGGTCCCGCTCTCCATCCCAGTGGAATAAACATTTATTAAATACCTACTGCCACTTAAAACTCCTGATTTCACTATTTGTCACCAAAAAATTGTTCTTCCATTTTCCCAAGGAAAAAAAAAATTAAGGATCTGAGAAAGGGACTTGGAGCACAGGTAGGACCAGGCTCCATGTGAAGCCCAGTGATGGTAGCCCAGCTTTCTTTGAGCCTTGGCCTCCCAGAGGACATGGACAGTTAGGCAGGCAGCAGGCAAGGAAGGCAAGGCCAGCCACTGGGTCACAGAGAGGCCTCAGCCCCAGGATCGGTCCTCAGGGAACACGTGTCCTCGGGAAGAAAGCCCAGTGTGATAGATCAAGGACAGAGGGCTGGACCCCGACGAGTGTCCTGACAACCAGGGAGGGTCAAGATGTCTTCTCCCTGCAGAAGAGGATTGGGTTTTGTAGGAGCTCAGCAATCAGGCCTGGACAAGCATCCAAGTCTCTGACCGACTGGAAGCAGGACAGACACCACGGTCTTGGTCAGTCCACAGATGTCCTGTGAATCTGAGAAACAGCACATTGCTGTCCAGCCTGGCTGGAATGGACAGGCATTCACTTATGCACAGGACCTCTCAGAAAACACCTACCCAGGGCAGAAACCAGCCCAGCTGCCAGTGGGAGAGCTTCATCCCATTCCAACCTCAGTCCACTTCTGGGGACAGGGCACACCCAAGAGACTTTCATTCATTTGTTCCCGTCTTCCCAGATGTCCTCCAAGGTGGACACGGGGAAATGTCCATCAAAATGTTCTAATGGGGAACATTTTGGAGGGCTGAGGCTACTTTATGGCTAAGCCCTGGCCCAACCTACAGGGTGAGACCCAGGTTCTTCCCTGTTTTCAAAGGAGCATGTTTGATAAATTTGTCTTCACTTGACAAGCCTTCAGTCAGGGCCAAAAGGTGCCACCCACCACCACCATCTGGGCCCTTTCTACCCATCCCCTAGAGCCACGGTCCTGCCATAAATTCCATAGATGCCTTTCCCACTACAGAACTGGCCCACAGCCTTCTGAGGCCAGGATGGCAAGCCCCCTAGTGCCCTGCATCACCCCTATCACCTCAATTAAGTCCACATTTCAAGGTCTGACCTTAGAGGTCTCCATCTTCTAAATGCCAGTTTCTAAAAGTTATTTTAATTACATGTGACAAAATTTTAAACTGGCTCGGGCACAAAAGGGGACGTCTCATGGAACTGAAACACCCACGGGTTTCAGATATGGCTTGATCCAGGGGCTCCAAAAGTATCCTGGGAAATTGGTCTCCTTTTTGGCTCTGCTTTATCCTCCTAATTTCCAATCCTGCCGTTGAATCTCACTGGCCAGCTCTGGGCCACAGGCCCTCCCTAAACCAGTCACTGTGGCCAGCGAAAATCAAGGGCTCTGTCTAGGCTGAGATCATGTGACAGAACTAGCCCCAAACATTTCTCCCAAGGACACTGCGGCCCAGACACCATGATTAAGGGTTGACCAAAGAAAACAAAGGGAGTTCCCTGCCAGTCCAGAGGTTAGGCCTTGGCATGGTTGGGGAACTAACATCTCATAAGCTGTGTGGTGCAGCTAAAAAAAGTAAAACAATCAAGTGCTTAGTCCAGGGTTTGTGTGAATGTATGAGGCTCACTTTCATAGGCCAGAATCTAAATTCAAACCTGAGCCATCTGCTCAGCCCAACTCCTACAGACTCACTGGCTGACCTCTGGCCTCTCCTTCCAGCCTGTTTCTCCACAAAACTATCCCACACAAACAAAGCCCGCAAGTAGGGCTGTTGTTAGGTTGTAGGTGTTCCAGCTGGGCTGGGAGTGGGTCCCCATGGTAGGATGCCTTCTGTGTCACCCCTCCCCACACTAAGATGATGGAGACTGTGCAGGTAGGAAACTTCTTTATTATTGGCCTTGATTCATCCATCATGTAGTGTCCAACGTGGATTATGTGTCCAGAGGATCAGTCTGGCACTCATCACCCCTGCCTGGCTGCAGCTGCCCCTCCAGTCCAGACGCCAGGACTTTGTCCATCACACCAGAGAAGCCACACCCCCACGAGTTCAATCTTGGGGCACCAAGGGACAAGGCTGTCCTGGGATTGGACCCTCTGTCTCACCCCTCATCTTGATCAGGGTTTCTGGGGAAGACTTGACTGGAGTCTAGACAAATCAGTCTCTTTTTGGTTTCATTGATCATTTAGAAAACAGAAAAGACAAACATTTCACAGTCTTTAAAAAATAGGAGTCTGAGGAGGGAAGCCAGGGTCCTCTGTCCAGGGGAAGCTCCCCACCAGAGGCCTGAGCATCCGTGTCCCTTGAGGTCTGCAGACCTGGCCCTGTCTGGTCACTGGCCTGAGCCGTAGGGCCAGTTGAAGGTACTTCCTGACAGCAGCATGTCTCGGATCAGCGTCTCGATGGGCGTCTTGCCCACCAGGCGCATGAAGAATAGCTGGGAGATGAGGGAGGCGGGGACCGCACGCAAGGCAGGAAGCCGCAGCAGCAGGCGCCCAAAGCGCTGGGGCTGCGATGGGTACTGGGCCCGCACGTACTCGGTGAGGGCCACCTGCGCCTTCTCCTGCAGGCTCTCCACGTGTGCTGGGTCTGAGAGGCCGCAGGCATCTAAGGGACAAGGGAAAGGTCAGAAGTGGTGGCAAGAGGACACAGGACCCCAGGGCTGACCGGGGCTGGGGAACACCACTCAGTGCAGTTGGTACAGAGGAGGGCACTCAAGGGATGAGACGGGGCCTAGGGCACAAATGGGGGTGTCTAATATCTAAGATGGTGTTGGTCCCCAAGAGATATTAAGGTGGCCTCATCTGAGGATGATGACACGGAGTGCAAGTAGTGATGTCTAAAGGGTGGATGGGCCCTGACTAAAGCATTTAACAGGGACACAAGTTCTAATCAAACTTAAGGAGGAAGGAATTCCCTGGTGGTCTAGTGGTTAAGGCTGCACTTCCACTGCAGGGGCTGCAGGTTCAGTCTCTGGTTGGGGAAGTTCTGCATGCCAGGAGCTGAGGCTGAAAACACCCCAAATAAAAAGCTCAAGGGGAAGAGGGGGCTAGCAAGGGGACTTGGGAAGAAAAGCAAACCTAAAGAGGGTATTCAGACACACTAAACAGACCTGCCTTGTGAGTGGTGACAGGTGAGAGCCCTATGAATGTCCTGGGTAAATAAAGAGGGGCAAAACCATATTACTGGATAAAAGCCACCTCCCAGAGTAGCCTGGGTCTGGCTCCCGCATCCTTGGTTCCAGGAGACACCTAGTGGGACCTCCTTGCAAAGTGCAGAGTCTGCTATGCCACCACTCCCTGGAATAAAGCAGGGCTTCGGCGGTGGGAGGGTTACTGAAGACTAGGAAGGAACTAAGATGCCTCCGCCCCTAGGTGGGAGGGGCTTCAAGCCACACCCCCTACCCGATCCAGCTCAGCTGGGGGTGGCCCCTGGAGCGGGGCAGGTTGGGAGCCCTGGGTCAGTGGTCTAGGGTCCTAGGAATTAGGCAGCGAAGGGCCCAGGAGCCCAGAACCAGGTGTCAGAGCACCCCTGCCTTTCATAAGTGGAAGGCAGGCCTCCTTAAGTGGTCAGTAACAAGAGGAGCATCCTGATTTGGCAGGTGAGGGTCAGAGAGTTTAGGGAGAACAGAAACCAGTAAGTGACGGACAGAGCCAAGTGGGCAGACCTCCCCTCCCGCAGCCCCCACCTGTCATTCTCCGTCAGTGCCCACTGACCACGATGGACACCTTGATGAGGGGGTGAAGGTGGGGGGTCTCGGGGAGCCTGAGAATCAAGGAGGGAGGCTGTGGGGCCTTAAGACGTGGAGCTGTGGGGGATCAAAATTCTTAGGAAGGCCTGGAGTCAGGGGGTGAGGCCATCACGGTGTCAGACCGCCAGCATTGCCTCCCCCACTGCCCCCCAACAGCGCTAAAGGCGCCTGCAGGGACGCAAGTCTGGCTAGCTGTAGATCAGGAAGTGGAGAACTAAGGGGGTCAGACTTTGAGGCAGCCATACTCCGCGGAGTCGACCTGCAAACGGCCCAGTTTGTCCACCTGTTCCTGGAAGGCGCGCACCTGGTCCATGAAGGCCACTGCACGCTCGGCGGCCATGGGCGCGGCATGCAGGCCGGCAGCGGCCAGCAGCGGCGCCGTGTGCAGGGGCAGCGCCGCCTGCGCCGCGTTCAGCACGAAGAGCTCGCTCCAGCTGAGGCGCAGCAGCGCCACCTGGTCGGCCACCGGCAGCTCGGGGAAGAAGGGTGCGTGGCGCGCCCACTCCACGGTGCTGAAGAGCAGCCGCGCCGCCAGCTCGCACACGTTGTCGATGCCCAGCACAGCGCCCGCCGCGCCGCTCCCGGCTCCAAAGGCGCCCGCGGCTCCGGCACCGAAGCGCCCGGCCGCCGCGGGGTAGGGCTCGGCACGCAGCAGCTGCGCGATCAGCTCCGACACTGGCTGCCCCGGGAAGAGGTCTCCGCCGGCCACGGCCAGCGCGGAGCCAGGAGGGCTGCCCGAGGAGGCTGCGACGGTGCCGGGTAGCGAGTGTGGGATTCGGCCGCGCTGCACCGCTGTGAAGGGGAGACAGAGATGGGGGTGTGGGGGGGGGGAGGGAGAAGCGGGAGGGAGATTGCCAGCCCCGAAAGAAACGCGGAAGGAGAGGGAGGAGGGGAGAGGGGACGGGGGAGGGGGGCAGGAATCAGGAGATGGGGAGTGAGGACACGGGAAACCAGAGAGGGGAGAGTGGGGTGTGAGGAAGGGGAGAGGAATTAGGGGGAAAGTAGGTACCCCGAGTCACGGGGTGGGGCAAGTAGGGAGAAGAAAGGTTGGAGATAAAATGATCAGAGGGTTACTCATTCCCTCCGCTCCAAGGCCCCCAACTCAACCTTTCCCTGAACCCCCAATCCCTACCTCATGGGCACAGTGCTTGTTGGGAGGACAGAGGCCAAGGTCTTGCACGCCCCACCTTGCTCCACCCTGTGCCCTCAACCTGAGGTCGAGTCCAGCCACCATCAGACTACTACTTTCAGAGCAGGAAGTGGGTGGGAGGGGCGGTGGGGGGAACCATCTCAGGTGGAAATGGGACCACTGGGTGAGGGCTAATTTAATTCACACATATCCCCCTCCCCATCTTCTGGACTGTGAGCTCCCCTCTGCAGCTAGGGAAGCCAGATCTGTCAATCATATCCTCATCCGTCAATCATAGGAGTCTAAGAGCTGATAATGGGTCTGAGGGGGCAAGCATCTTCCTAGGACATAGGCACATAGCCAGCCTACCCCTCAAACAAGTGATCAGCAGGGGCTGGCACTGATCTCTCCTATGGAATTAGGATATTTCTCTACCTCCCAGCCCCACCCTCCAGGTCATGGTCCCCTAGAGCAGCTCTCATCTGCCTGGGCCTCTGCAGTAACCTCAGTGTTAAGGATGAAATCCTGGTCAGTAGCAAAAAGTCGCTGTTAGCAAAAAGTAGTGTTAGTCACTCAATCGTGTCCAACTCCTTGCGATCCCATGGACTACAGACCGTAGGGCTTCTCTGTCCATGAGATTCTCCATACAAGAATCCTGGAGTGGGTAGCCATTCCCTTCTCCAGGGGATCCTGACCCAGGGATTGAACCCGGTCAGCAGCAGGAGATCAGTAAATATGAGATTCCATCAGTAGTTTTGCCTGTGATGGGGAGGACCAATTGCTGGCCTTGGGCAGTGCCCCCAAGGATCCGGTAGGTGAGAAGAGGAAAGCTGAGGTGCAAGGAAGAAGGATGGCTGCATGCCAGCCTGGCCTGTGCCACAGTGGGCGGGGTGGAGGGGCTGACTGGGCTGGGTGCCCGGCAGAGACTAATTAATGAGCTTTAATGAAGTGGCATGCCTGGTCTCATCACCCCCATGAACTTCTGGTCAACCCACCATGGAGCAGAGCGGGAGAAGGACGAAAGTGGAGCTGAGGGCTAGCAGAGCTGATCAGGGAAGCAGGGTTCAAGCCTTATCCCATGTGATTTGAAGTCTCAGGAACATCTAGTCTGTCAAATGGGTGTAGCCGGGTTGAGGGCCAACAATGAATCCCAATCAACCTCTGGCTCACTTGGTTCTAAAGCCCACTGCCATCATTCATACATCACCTGGCCACCTCAAGGTCTGTGCGTTTGCTGTTCCTGCTTCCTGAGAACCCTTTCCCCAGCTCTTCCCCCCCATTAGCCCAGACTATGTGGGTTCAAATCCCAACCACAATTAGATTGCTCTCTGTACTCTTTCCCCACCCATAAAAGTATGCAGTTGATAATAATCATGACGATGATAACACCAATCACTGAATTAAGTGAGAATGTATCTAACTGGCTTGGAATAGCTTTTGGCACATGAAAGTAAAAGTGAAAGTCGCTCAGTCGTGTCCGACTCTTTGAGACCCCATGGACTACACAGTCCATGGACTTCTCCAGGCCAGAATACTGGAGTGGGTAGCCTTTCCCTTCTCCAGGGGATCTTCCCAACTCAGGGATCGAACCCAGGTCTCCCACATGGCAGGCAGATTCTCTACCAGGTGAGTCACAAGGGAAGCCCAAGAATAGTGGAGTGGGTAGCCTATCCCTTCTCCAGCAGATATTCCCAACCCAGGAATCAAACCAGGGTCTCATAATAAGAGCTAAATGGATAGTAACTCAAGCCAAGAAACATTAAGCACCTTCTATGTTTTAGAACCTGGTGTAGGCCCTGGGAATGTGTCAGAAAACAAGATAGACAAAAGTTTCTGACCTTGAGGAGCAGACATTCTGATGGAGGAGCAAGCAAATTATAAAGCAAGATAGATGGCCTGAATAAAGGGGTTGCAAAGGGTAATCAGGAGGGGTTCTCGGAGGAGGTGGTGTTTCAGTAAATCTTAAAAGAAGGTGAGGGAGGAAGCCATGTAGGTGTCTGGGGGAGGTGTTCCAGACAGAGGGAACCACCTGTGTAAAGGCCAAGAGATAGGGCTGTATTCGGGTCATGATCTGAGATTATTACTTCCACCTCGAGACTTTGAAGATCTGAAGCCTGGATTTGATGTGGATTTTAGGTCAAATTCACAAGTGGAGACAAAATCCAGGTTGCGGGGGTGGGGGTATAGGCAGTCACCCCCAACTTCACATGACCAAAGAGAGTGATCAGATGATCTTAAGAGAAAGACTCTGGCAGCTGTTCCCAGCTTCTTTCACCGAGGCTCAGCAGAGAAGAAACCAACAGCAGAGCAGGAGAGACTCAGCTTTTAGACACAGAAAAGAACTGCCAGCCTGGCTCATAAGAGTCCAGGCAGTGGGAATTCCCTGGTGGTCCAGTGGCTAAGACTCTGCGCTCCTGATACAGGGGGGCTGGGTTCGATCCCTGGTTAGGGAACTAGATCCCACATGCTACAACTAAGACTCTATGTAGCCAAATAAATAAAAATAAATGTTTAAAAAAAAAAAAAAAGAGTCCAGGCAGTGACACAAAGTCCAGCCTTGGGGCCGTCATTGAAATGGGCCGAATTCTGCTCCCTAGCGCAGTGCTTCATGTAGAAGTCTACATGTTCCACCTGAATTCTAACAGTGATAGGTGGAGTTCTAGACCTAGCTTCCCTGCGCTGCGCAGATCCACCCAAGTCCCCAGGGCAAGGACAAGAGGCTGGGCCTCCCTCTGGCTCCCAGCACCCCCGGTCAGGCGGAAGGGTGAGCTGCCCTTTGCCTTAGTCGGGTGAGTTCCTGCCTTGGGCAAACACAAGGCAGAGGGTGGAGGGAAAGCAAATCAAAAAAAAAAAAAAAGTTACATCATTGTTCAGAAAGTGGTGGTCAGGCTAGAGGGCAGAGGATTACTGGGGTTAACTTCAGGTTCTCTGCCCCTGAGGCCGGGTTGGGAGAGGTGGTCGGGAGAAAGGTTCTAACGTGGGCCGGAGTGGGGGAGCCCCTTGCAGCCCAGTTCTGCCTCAGCCACCAGGCGGCCACAGATAATTGGATTCCTCCAGCCCAGGGCCAGATCCAGGCCCATGGGATCTCAGGATCGGTGGTAACAAGGTTAGCAGGCGCCAGACCCCACCCTCCATGGCTCCCAGACCCCAAGAGAGGGAGCAAAGGGCAAGCCGCTTGCTCACCCCCTGCCTGCCCCACCCCAGTGGGGACTCACCTTCCTTCCTCATGCCCACCCGGAAGCACTTCTTGAGGCGGCAGTATTGGCACTGATTCCGGTGATGCTGGTCGATCTGGCAGTCACGGTTGGACCTGTGGGCACACAGAGGTCACCAAGGGGATCACCATGACACCTACATTCTGGCCTGGGAGCCACCAGGACCACCCCCCATCCCTACCAACAACCTGGGCTGGGCAGGTGACTCCAAAGTGGCACAGAGGTGTGCAAAGAGGAAAGGACAATTTGGGGGAGTAGAGACAGATGAAGAGCAGTCTGTGGCAAAGTGGATTAGCATGCCAGGAAGGGTTATGTTGGAACTGGGTTTTGAAGGATGAATACAAGTTCCCCAGGTGACCAGAGGCAGTTCCTGGCAGAATGACAATGATAGCCAAAAGTTTTCCAGTTTCATTTTACTTGGTCCTTGTGGGCCAGGGGACAGGGTCTTTGTCCCCAGGAAACTGTGAGAACAGAGAAGGAACATGGTCACTGAGCAAGACTTTGTGAGTTGACTTAAGAGACTAGAACCCAGGCCAGTCCTCTATGGGGTCACAGCACCACGGGGCCCCAAAATTACTGCCTGACACAAGCCCACCATCAATGTATGAACAAACAAAAGAGTGAATGAATGAACTCCTGTACCCCTCCAAGATGTCGAACCCCTCCTCTAGAAAGACCATCCAACACCTAACAGAGCCCAAGAAGCTTCCTCCAGGCAGTCCTCTGGGATTGCTGGTGCCTCTTCCAGGGATGGGACATGTGGCCCCGCCCTCTGAAGCAATGAGTTCCGTCCAAGGTCAGTTGCAAGTTGGAAGGTTCAGGCCTTTGTTCTTTCAATGTCCCCAATACCCTTTTTCCCCTTGCCCCCTGCTCTCTGTTCCCTCCATATCTCTCTCTGAGCCTTTTGAGGCCCAGGCTGAGGGCTGGAGTCCCAGCTGGGCACCAATAGGGTACTCAGAGCCAGTCACAAAGGAAGACAAATACTTAACGAAGTTGAAAAGTCAACACATCCTAGCTGCGGACACCCAAGGCCCAACCCTTAGGCAGCGACTTCTCCACTGAGCCTTGGTTTCCCCATCTGGAATCGCGGGGCCAGAGGCCAATTCTATACGGGATGCACTCATTCTGGAGAAAACTGGGAGTAGGGGTGGGGGAGGGTGTCAAGACTTGGGCCCACCTGGGAGTCCCAGTGGCCAAGTTTGGAGAGGTGAGGCTCCAGAGAGCCTCTGCGTTCTGCAGCACCAGCCTCCGAGCCCCAGGAAGAGGCCCTACTAGGGCAAAGGGAGCTCAGGCAGAACCAGAACAAAGCCCAGCAGGCAGGCAGTGGGAGGGTCCTGGGCAGCCGGGTGGAAACAGCAAGGCCTGGGGCAGGCAGGCAGGCAGGGGCCTGGCTCAGGTCCCCCAGACTTCAGGGGTGCCCTGAACCTTCTGCCTCAACTTCCCCACGTGTAGAGTCAGGACAGATCTTCTGTCCCTCCAGATGGGGAAACAGGAAGTTCTACCTGTTATCCCACCTAGACAGCACATGCTTTGCCAGACCCCACAGTCCAACTCTGCCTTCTCCCTGGGCTTCTCTGGCTTTCAGTCCAGTTTGATCATTGCCCTCTTTTGCTCACACACCTTCTTCCATGGTTCCCCATTACTTTCACTCCAGAATTTCTGACCCACTCGGCTCTACCTTCTCCCATGCCTGGGTGGTCTCACCTTACATCACCCTTACATCACTGATGCCCAATCCTGCCCACTGAGTGTTTGCTGGAGCCACACTCTCTGCAGGAGTGCCCTTCGCTTCTACCTGCTAAACCCCTCATGTTTCAAGGTCCACCTCCCGTGGCCTTCCTCTGTGACCCTCAGGCAGAGCTCCTTGTTCCTCCTGGGACCCCAGACCATCCCTCCCTCTGGCCCAACCCAGACCCCCCAGACTAGGACGCCTGTGTCTCACTGTGTCTCCCTCAAACTGGGAGAAGGCTGGGCTTGGAACTGGGGTCTTTTCTAGGGTGCTGGTATCAAACCACCCACGTCAGGCCCTGAGGGGTCTTGGATGATTCAACCTGAGGCTCAGAGAGAAGCAGTGACTTCTCCCGGTCACACAACACAGACCTTCTGAAGAACCTGCCAGTGCCAAACCAGGCCCCTCTCCCTGGCCTTGGTGCTCCCACTCTAAGGGAGCATCTAGGACCCCCAAACCACCTGAGCCCCTCCCCTGCCCTCCCTAAAGACCCGGCCAGAGAGCATACAGTTATTCCAGCAGCAAGAATGAGGCCAAAGTCTGGTGGCCCAGTTAGCATTGGAGGAGGGAGTAAGCCAGCTCCGCGCCATATAAAGCCGCCCCCAACAGGCCAGATCTGGGGCCAAATTCCTGCTTCAGGTACCCAGGACCCCACCCAGTGGCCCTGCCAACAAGCCCTCCATCAGCAGCTCCCCCTGGGGATGTCCTGACCCAGACTTGCCTGGCCCCCCTCACCTTCCCAACCCCACAGCTCCCTTGCTAAGCCCCAAGTGGGCAGGGTCTCTCCCTGGGTGACCCAGGGCAGGTGCCAAGAGCTTTCTGGGAGGGGGCGTAGTAGAGCGGGGTGCAAGGCTGAAGCAGCCAAGATGCGGTCAAATCCAGCCGCCACCTCGGACCTCTCGCAGCAGTTTCCGGTGACCCAGGGCCCAGAGAGCGCCCAGGGGGATTCCCCCTGAGGCGCAGGCCAACCCCCAAGGCAGAAGCGCCCCCCTGCCCCATGCGAAGGAAGCCGCCCTGTGCCACCTAGTTTCGCTCCAGCCGCCGCCTCAGTAGTCAGGGCGACTTTGGAAGTGATATTTGACCCCAAGGGCGCGCCGTATCGATCCGCGCGGCCGCAGACAATGGCCCCCGGACGCTGTGAGCTCCACAGTCCAAGTTCCACGTTCGATCCCCACCAGGTCCCCGGCGCGCCAAGATTCCCAAGGGAAGGGATGCCCTGGGATTAGGGACCCACCCCTGACAGCACCCCAACCCCTCGCCGCGCAGATCTGACCCCTGTCCGGAGAAAAGGAAGAGAGGAAGGAGGAGCGAGTAACTGGGGCGGAAGCCGCCAGGGACCACCTGATGGGGGGGACCTGCACCGATACAGCGCCGACTGTATACACAATCCCAGGAATGTGATGGAGAGGGGGCGAGGGACCTGTGCCCCGGTCTCAGACGGGGAGTAGAGACCCAGGGAAGGTCAGCGCCAGGCCCAAGGTGACCGAGCAGGTCAGAGGCCCGGCCCGGGCGCCGGAGGCGGTGCGCAGAGGGGGCTCACCGGCAGGTGTAGCTGAGGTTGCGGCGGATGCTCCGCTTGAAGAAGCTCTTGCAGCCCTCGCAGGTGAAGACGCCGTAGTGCTTGCCGCTCGACTTGTCGCCGCACACCACGCAGTCCACCTGCAGCCCCGGCCGCTCCTCGTCGCCCGGCTCAGCGTCGCTGGCGGCACCGGGGGGTGAGGCCGAGTCTTCCTCCGCCGCGCGCGGGTAGCCGCCCGCCTTGTCCACTCCATTCGTGTCGCCGCCGCCCCCGGGGCCGCCCCAGCCGCCGGTCACCATGGCCATAGCCCCCGGGCAGCGGGGCCGGGGCGCCCCCTCCGCGTTTCTCCCTCGGGGCACCCCTCTAGGCCCGGGGGACCCTAACCGGCGCGCATCCGGTCCCGGTGCGCGGGGGTCACCCGGTTGCACCCCCAAAAAAAGTTTTGCAGCAACTTCCTGCGGCCGGTCCGCGCGCCCGGGCGGAACTGGTCGGGCCGGTTCCAGGTCAACTTTCCCACGCGTGCGCGGGGCCGGGCCCCGGACCGGGGGGGCGCGCTAGAGGTGCTGGCCGGGGGCCCCGGGGACTCGCGCCCCGCCGCCCTGGGGCCCCGGCGGGGGAGCTCGGGCCATGGCCCGGCCCAGGCAGCGCAGGGGGGGCCCTCCGGCCTGGCCGCCGCTCGGCCAAGGGCTGCGGCCAACTTAGCGGGCTGCCATCCGCGCGCGGGAGGCCGGGGGGAAAGTTTGGCCGCANGCAGGGGCGCGCGCCGCGGGCTGGGGGCGGGCGCTCGTTGCCCGGGCGACGGCCGCCCTTATAAGGACATGGGTGGCCGTGCGCGGCGCCCGGCGCCCGGGCCGGCGGGAGGGGCTAGGGCGGAGCGCGGGGCCGCAAGGCCTGACCCTCCTCCCTCCTCCTCCCTCGCTCACCCCACTCCCACCCCCGTCCTCGCCCGGCTCCAGCCTTAACCCCTGCCGGGCCGCGGCGGGAGCCTGGGCCACTGCTGCCCTCTGCCCTTCCGCAGCCTCGCCAAGATGTCTCTCTAAGGCCCTCCCCTCCACCTCCGGCCTTGGAAGTTGTGTAGCTCAACCGCCCTCGAGGCGCCCCTCGGCACCACCCCCTTGCATTCCCGGCAGAAGCAATAATGGGGGGCCGGTTGCACCGGGGGGCACGCCCCTGCGCAATACACACACACACACACACACACACAAAACCACACACACACCCCTGGGGCATTTCTTTGCACAGTTGCATGATGGATTGTGTTTGCTTCCTCTTCCAGAAAGTCGCGGCGTCCGACCCCCACCCCACCCTTTCTCCGCTTGGGCTAACACCTGGTGTTCGGAATCTCCGGGGGGGAAGGGATGTTGTGGTCTGCGGCCGGCAGGGGCGCGAGGTCAGGGGGCCCCTCTCCAGAATTTCAGGCTTCTGGGGGCAGGGCGCCCACCCGCCCAGCGAGGCTGGAGGCGACAGGAATGCCCACCACCCCTGCCGGGGGCCTGCCCCCTTTCCCCTTTAATTTCCTTTTCTTTCTGTGCTTCACAGAAAGAGCTTGACCAGGGGCCGACTGGACTACAGATGTCTCTTCCAGGCTCCCCAGAGTCTCCCAGCTGCTGCTCAGCCTCCATGTCACTGCCCCCAAGACCCTGGGTTGGGACAGCTAGCGTGCATTAAACACCCTTTGTATGCTCAGGAGAGCAGGCTGCCCTGGGCAAAGAAGCCTGAGCCTCTGCTTCAGAGCCTGTTAACCTTTAACCGGCTGGAAAAGCCCTTCCTGCAGTGACCTTTCACCTTGGAGTCCTGAAGGTCCAGGCCTTATCTCCCGCCCTGCCTTGGCCTAAGCTGGACACTCGGACACGTGGCTGGGCCTCTGAGGGCTGCAGGCAGGAGAAAAGGGTCCTCTGCCCCCGCGGGTTCCTACACCCTCCTCTCTCAGGAAGGGTCCTTGAGAAAAGCCATTCCCCTCTCCAGTTGACGTCTGAGGGACATCCTCCCTGGCAAGGGCTGGAGATGTTTGGAGATCTTGCAGCAGTTAAGAGGATACCAAGATTCTGGAGAACCCAGGCAATGGATGCCCAGCCCTGGGCCTCTGGGCCTCCTGGGAGGGTGTGGCTGGGTGTGAGGGGGGAGGGAGGTTTTTGCAAGTACAGAAAGCAAGAAGCACTAGGGTTAGACACGAGGAAGGACTTTCCAAGGGTCTGACTGGAGTGGAGTTCTCTGCCCCATAACCTGAGTTGGGCTTGAATGGTTAAAGAGGACCCTTTAGGTCCTGGCAGTGCAGTGGTTAGGGCTCCGTGCTTCCACTGCAGGGGACATGGGGTCGATCCCTAGTCAGGGAATTAAGATCTCAAATGTCCCAAGTAAAGATATCGCCTGCAGCAACCAAGACCCGGGTCAGCCAAATATTTTTTTTTAAAAAGAGAAAGGACCCTTTGGTTCTGTGGCCTGGGAATGGGGGGCACTAGCTGGGTATTTGGGGTGACGATGGGTGTCTAGGTCCCTGGTCTAAACTTTCTAGGATCCTCGATGGGGGGGAGACACAGAGGTGGGTGTCTCAGAGATGAGAGCCAGAGACTTGTAAGGAAGAGAAGGCTCAAGGAGTCAGAGAGGGCCCGGAGAAGGGAAGGGACAGGGAACTGGAGTTTGAGGGACACAAGCCTAGGGGAGGGGTCCGGTGGAAGACTGGAAGAAGGTCTGCCACAGATCCTGGAACTTCGAGGTGATCCAACCTTTGGGGGGCCACCCCGCCTCAGCCCAGAAGCTCTATCGCCCCTGCAGTCCCTGGAGGCCCGGGTGGGGGGGTAGTGCTGAGGTCCAGCCCCGCCCCACCTGACCCCTGCCCGCGGCCCCGCGGTGACATTTGACCTTGCAGAGGCCGCGACCAGGGACAAAGAGGCCTGGGCCCATCTGCTGCGGGGAACCCGTGGGAACAGCAAGACCCGGCTCCCAGTGGCCTGGGAACCTGCCCCCGCCCCCCAACGGCGACCTCAGCTCTCGCCCCCACCGCCGGTGTGAACTCCTTCCCCACCTTCCAACAGGTGACCTTGTCTCCTCTCGGCCCCACCCCCGCACGGGCAACCTAGTGAGACTCGGGGCTAAGGTCACTACCCCCCAACGGCGACCTCAGCTCTCGCTCCCACCGCCGGCGTGAACTCCTTCCCCACCTTCCAACAGGTGACCTTGTCTCCTCTCGGCCCCACCCCCGCACGGGCAACCTAGTGAGACTCGGGGCTAAGGTCACTCTTAGACTCTTAGGGAGGGAGACGGACGAGAGGGTCGTACAGTCGGGTCCTCTGCCGGGATAAGGGCGACCTTGCCCGCCTGAGTTTCCCTGCTTTCTGCAAAGCCTGCCTCGGTCCGGAGATTGTGTTTATGGTTCGAAGGTCACCAGCCCCCAGCGCTGGCCCGAGGCTCCTGTGGATCCGGAGGACCAGGTTAAGTCTCGGCGGCTGACTAGCGCCGACCTCAGGTCAGCCTTGCCCTGCCGGCGAGAGGCAGCCGCGCCGCGCACACACCTGCACAGGTGCTGCCTGAAACCCCCCCTCCCCGAACCTCACCCCTACCAGGCTGGGAATGAAAATCTATCTAATCCGCGTCTTGAATTTCAGCTGCCACCCAGGAGGGGACAGCTGGCCACTAATCCGAGGCGTCTGGGTCGAGCCTAACCCCCCCTTTCCCAACTCTGCCAGACTCCGCTGGAAGGGCAAGGGGCGGGGTCTATGTAAATAAGATGCTAATCACTTGCCCGCTATTAATCTGACACTGGCACCTCCCAGAGTTCCCATCTCCTGCAGGTAAAACTGGCAACTTCTCAGACTAGCCAGGAGCCATCCAGACGCTCTAGGGCAGTGTACTTCTTTGCCCACCGTTACCAAACCTGATTTCCTCAACAACAGCTGTATGACCCCCCTGAGATCTCTCTTGCAGAGTTTCTTCCCTTTGCCCACCACCCTAAAGCCCTTTACCTTAGGTCCACATTCTTTGAATGCAAGTTCTAAGGCCACTTCTGATTCCCCCTTCCCCCTTCCTCCACTCGGAGCAATGCTCTTCCAGCTTGTGTTCCACGTGCTGAACTGTTAAGGCCTCAGTCTTCCTTCTGGGTTATGGGTATCTTCTTGGGAACATACTTCAGACCAAGCCTAGCATTTCCTTGGGAAGTGGGTGGGCAGGGGAAAGTGTGCCCTGCCCCAGTGGACACCCTGCTGGGCTTCTGGAGACAGATAGGAAAGAAAAGAAAGGAAAGTGAAGTCGCTTGGTTGTGTCCCACGCTTTGCGACCTCATGTATTGCAGCCTCCCAGGCTCCTCCGTCCATGGGATTTTCTAAGCAAGAGTACTGGAGTGGGTTGCTGTTTCCTTCTCCAGGGGATCTTCCCGACTCAGGGATTGAACCCGGGTCTTCCGCATTGCAGGCAGACACACTTTACCATCTAAGACACAAGGGAAGCCCTGGAGACAGATAAGGGTTGGAATTTCAGCTCTGGCTATGTAACCTCACTGAACCCTGAATGCCCCCAGCCAGTCATGGGAATCCTGTCTCCACAGCCCAGGTTGCTTCTTCCATGACCCTTCTGACATGTCTCTTCGCATGCCATATGGTATCAGACCAAATATACCGAGTCTTTCTCAAGTGCCAGCCCCCTCCCCATCAAACCCCAGACACTCAGGTATATCAGCCCTCATCACACAGAACATGCCTCAACATGCAAAGTCATGCCACATGACACAGTGTCTCTCCAGAAGAGTTTATGATGTGACCTGTCACAAGTATCTGGCACGTCCAGACATGGCCAGGTTCGGGCCTAGAGAAAGGTCTCCCCAGGCCGGGAAGGCGGGCAGGGAAGTCTCGATCTCCCCAGGGCCTTTTCGGTGGCTTCTAGCACGGCCAGCTCCTCTGCCTGTCGGGCCTCCATCAGTGTCATCTGCTGCTCCAGCTTCCGCCGTTGCTCTTCCTGCTTCCGGTGGGCACCTCGGAAGGCCATGACCAAGGTGCTGGAGGGAGAAGGAGGCTGAGCCAGGAAACAGCCCCCCATTCCACCCGGGACAGGGGCTATGTACTCCCAGCCCCGGACAGGAAGTCTTTGAGATTGGGTCTTCCGGAGGACCTGGCATCGCTCAGCAGGGGCTGACACACATCAGGCACCAGAGGAGGTGTGGAATGGGTTGAACCTGCCACCCACCTTAGGGGGGGAAGCTGTGGCCCTGAGAGAGCCAGGGATGCCTCTGAGGTTACACAGAGAGACCCACCTGTGAGCTTTGCATAAATCACTGTTCAGCTCAGTACTCTGAGCACGTCTGGCTCGTCCCTTCCGAGCCACCTCTTCTAGCTCTTCCCGCAGAGACTGCAGCTGCTCCCGCAGGCCCAGAGCCCTGGTACAAGGGTGGGGAGAGAGGAACTCACAGACATAGCCACTCCTGTCTGCCTTCCCCACTCCCACCCACCTGCCCACATGTTTCCATGTGAATACAACGGTACACCCAGTCCTCCACTGTACGCATCACCCCAGTGGGTTCTCACATATTACCCCCAGCCAAGCCACACACACCCCAGCACCGTATCCAGGCACACACCGAGTGAGTGATGCTGACAGTTCCTGGGTCAGTTCTTCTGGGTCCTGCACTTTGCTCACTTGGCCTCCATCAGTACCCCTGCTGCCACCAGGGGCGACAGGAGGACCCTGAGGAAGGCAGAAGGGAGGGTAGTGACACTGACCTCGGCTGAGAGTGTGTTCAGCCCAAGCTAGACACTGAAGTCATCACAGACTGTGGTGGCTACAGTGCCTGCTCTCACAGAGCCCCCAGTCTTATGAGACACCCCAATAAGGATACAGTTGTTCCCTAACAAGGGAAATAAATAACAAGAGATCTCATTTTCAGGCAGTTCAGGAGGACTTCCTAGAGGAGGTGATGTCTGAGCTCAGACCTATAGGATGTCAAGGACTCAGTTAGATAAAGAGGAAAGTGACTGGTGTTCCTGGCAGGGGTGTAGCACTTAGAAAGGCATGGAGGTAGAAGAGATGATTCAAAGGAGGGTTCCAGGAGCCTCTAAGGCTTTAAACAGAGGATAGATATGATTAGACAGTAGGGGCAAGAAGGAAAGCCTCAGAGAGTAAGCTGGAGCCAAAATTTAGGAAAATATGAAGCATGGAGTGGAGCTGCTGGAGTGGGGAACGGGAAGTATGAATAGCCTGGGGGTGGGAAGTAGAAGGGACAGGTGTGAGTGGGAGACACTAAATCCCTTGGGGCTTATTGGGCTCAATACACTCAAAGAAAGAAACTCTGAAGTACAAGTGTGAACTTTCACATGCATTTTTACCATTCAACTCCTTTTTTGGTGCAGAAATGGAAACTGAGGCTCAAAGGAGGCTAGGATTAACCAGGACCACATATCCAGTAGTATACTGCTATCCCTACCAGGCCAAGGCAGGGTAACTCACCTGGGACCACTCCTCCTCCTCTCCGCTGCTCCCACCTCCACTGCTGTCTCCACCACTGCTGTTGGCCCCGCCAGTCCGAAGCTGTGCCCGCTCCCAGCGCAGCTGCTCCAGCAGGAGCACATGGGCTGGGCCCTGGGCTCGGAGGGCAGCCTCCCGCAGTTCCAGAGCCCGCTTTTCCCGCCGCACCAGCTGTAGCCGCAGCATCAGGTCCGCCAGAGTCTCCTGAGAGACCAAGGAGAGGGTAGAAAATTTGTGCCTTGAAGGTCAACTGTTGAGAAAACCAAGCCTCTAGGAGGTGCCCACTGAGGGCTGCTCAGGCAAGAATCCTAACCCTTACCTTGATCTTGCATGATGGGAAATATCCTTCCATAAAAACTACAGCTGTAGAAATAGACATTCAGAGAGAGCAAGTGTCTTAGACAAAGTCAAGTAGCAACTCAGTGGTAGTGTCTGGAGTTTCTCCAAATTCTGAACCTCAGCTCTTTCATGTGTGTGATAGCTGCTCAGTCGTGTCTGACTCTTTTGCCACCCCATGAACTGTAGCCCACCAGGCTCCTCTGTCCATGGAATTCTCCAGGCAAGACTACTGGAGTGGGGTCCCATTCCCTTCTCCAGGGGATCTTCCTGACCCATGGATCGAACTTGTGTCTCCTGCATTGGCAGGCAGATTCTTTACCACCTCAGTCACCAGAGAAGCCCCCAGCTCTTTCATGCCAGGTTACAAATTTCAAACAATATCCAGGAAAACTCTCCCTTACTACCTGGTCCCCTCATCACATCTCACTCAGACTCAGCAACAGATTTGGTCCCACCAGGAAAGACTGACACAGTGACCACAGCCCATGTGTACCCGTGTGGCCGCCAGGTCCTGCTGGATCTGCATCTTCTCCAGCCGGGGCAGGGCTGGGCCAGGCTGGGTCCCCAGAATGGCCTGCACCATGGCTTCTGCATGGGGCACGGTAGATATGGGCACCCAGGTGGAGCCAGGTTCGGGGGGAATCTTGACCAGAGCACGGCGTTCCTGGAGACGCTGAACATAGCCCAGGAGCTGGGTAGCCACTTCCTGTGATGTGGGCCTATCCACACTGCTGCCTTCGGGACTGCAGAAAACAGAAGAGACCTCTGTTAACACTGGTCAGCATGGCTGTACTAACTTTATAGCAATCCTGGGGGGCTTTGTCATCTTCCATCTTACTGACAATGATGGTTCCTTCCTATGCCATCTGTGGTAGGCATGGTCAAACTAACACAGTGGGCACCATAATGTAAACCCATATGGGCAACACCAGCCCACTGATGATCATTCATCATTGATGAATGATGAATGATGAATGAATGCCACCATGCCAATGGACACAGTCACTCACACCATCATGGGGAAGCCATCACACCAACTCAATGAGCACCATTGCTTACCTGCCAACCCTGTTATGCAGCATTATGACAACCCCTATGGGTACCAGCATCATGCCAACCCCATTAAGCACCATAATGCCACCTAGTCACTGGGCACCACCATCCATCTTCATGCCACCCTGGTGGGTCCTATACCAACCCCAATGGCTGTCACCACCATGTCAACTTTGCTGAGTAGAAACCAGCCAACTCCAGCAGGCCTAATGCCAAGCGTAGGAGTCATGCCAACCCCCAATATAGGGCCAGTGCTGGGAGCCCCATTCTGCAACCAGAGCCCCACTCACTGGCCCACCCAGTCCCCAGGGCTCCCAAGGGTACCTTGGATATGGATCCTGCAGTGTCACTCCATCCATGGAAGCCTTCTCCTGGGCTAGGAGCCTCTGAGCTTCCTTCTCAGCTGCCTCCAAGTCATCCATGAAGGCTTCTTTTCCAACTCCTGAGTCTGCCTCCCGGAGAGTGAGTAAGGCTCCATATGCCTCCTCACAGTGTTCACTGTGGGACAGCAGTTCTGAGCACTCCAGCATACCCACCTTGCTATGTAGGTGACATCCCCACTTGCTCCTGGATCCCTCACTGCTCCTCCTAACCCCAACCCTGGGAGTTTGTAAATTCCTTCAGCACTCTTGGACGAAAATTGCCTTAAGTTAATTTCCACGGCAAGGGCAAATACTTTTCTGAGAGGGCTCTGTCTCTCTCTGGGGATTAAGACTATCCTCTGAGGATGTCCATTTCTTTCCCAGGCAGTGAATCACGGGTGGGGTGCACTGACCTATACTGCAAGGCCAGACGCAGGGCAGTGGCCTCAGCCTCCCGCTGACCCAGCTGCATGCTGAGGCCCTCACACCGGCCCTTGTACTCCTGAAGCACAGCTGACAGCAAGCGGTTGAAGCATTTGAGCTTCTCAGTGTTCCTGCCTCCAGAGGTGGGGAAAAGGGAAAAGTGAGGGACTTTGAAGGGCAGTTAGGACACCACTGATCTCCACCCTTCCCCATCCCTCCCCCACTCCAGCTCCAGACTGCTGGCTTTATATCCCAGCTGGGAGGCACCAGTGCCCTTATGAGCTCAGCATTTGTGACTCTTACCCTCGGAGTTGCTCCATCTGGGCTTCCATGATGTGCATCTCAGGAGCAAGGGGCTGGGTTGGGAGAGACCCAAGCATCTGGGTGCTGGAATCACTCTGCAGGCGCCGGAGCAGGGGGTGAGCCCGGGAGAAGGGATCCTGTCAAAAAGAGGTGACTTGATTCACCCAGAATTGTCATTGAGAGCCCAGCATCATGAGTTTAGGCTTGAGTCTCATGGCCCCAAATCCTAAGGATCTAATACAGACCACGGTTTTTAGCTTCACACACTCACCTGTGAGCCCCAGGTCTCTCCATCAGCCCCAGAGCTGCTGGAACCACTACCTGAGCCACCTGCTTGGTCACAGGAAGGAGGTGGAAAGGGCTCCAGCCTCAGCAGGGAATCCTGCAGCTCCTGGACCTTTGGGGAAATGGGGAATGTAAGGCCGGGGTGGCTCCAACCACCTGCCATTCTTCCCTAAGACCTGTTCTTGGAGCAGTGGCAAGAGCACCGGCTGGAAGGTAGGACCCCCCCACCCCGAGATTCTCATCCTGTACAACCTTCTTGTACAACCTTGGGCAAGTCGTTCAGCCATGACTTGTTGGTCAGGCATTCAGTCATGCAGTCCCTGAATCAAGACTTCTCTTTCCAGATGTCCAATGGGTACATGAAAAGATGCTCATCATCACTAATCTTTGCATGCGTGCATGCTCAGTCACTTCAGCTGTGTCTGACTCTTTGTGACCCTATAGACTGTAGCCTGCCAGGCTCCTCTGGCATGAGAGTCCATGGGATTCTCCAGGCAAAAAAAAAAAAGAAAAGGTACTGGAGTGGGTTGCCACGCTCTCCTCCAGGGGATCTTCCCGGCCCAGAGGTCGAACCCATGTCTCCTGTGGCTCCTGCATTGCAGGTGGATTCTTTACTGCTGAGCCACTGGGGAAACCTCACTAATCCTCAGGAAAATGCAAATCAAAGCCACAATGAGATACCACCTTACATCAGATAGAATGGCAAGCATCAAAAAGACAAGAAATTGACTTCCCTGGCAATCCAGGGGTTAGGACTCCGAACTTCCACTGCAGGAGGCACGGGTTCAATCACTGGTTGGGGGAACTAAGATCCTGCATGCCTTGCCAAGTGGCACGACCAAAAGAAAAAAAGAATGCAAGAGATAAGTGTAGGCGAGGATGTGGAGAAAAGAGAACCTTCATGCACTGTTGTTGAGAATGTAAATGGGTGCAATCACTATGGAAAAAAGTATGGCAGTTCCTCAAAAAAGTAAAAATAGAATGACTATATGATACAGCAATTCCATTTCTGGGTATTTCTCTGAAGGAAACCAAAATGCTAACTCAAAAAGACATCTGCACCCGCATGTTCGTTGCAGCATTATTTACAAGAGCCAAGACACAGAAGCAACCTAAGTGTCCACCGATGGATGAATGGATAAGATGTGGTAAATATATTTAGAGAATGAAATATTATTCATCTGTAAAAAAGGAATCTTACCATTTGGAACAATATAGGAGGACCTCAGGGTTTCCCCAGTGGCTCAACAGTAAAGAATCTGCCTGCAGTGCAGGAGCCGCAGGAGATGTGGGTTCGATCCCTGGGTTGGGAAGATCCCCTGGAGGAGGAAATGGCAACCTACTCCAGTGTTCTTGCCTGGAGAATCCCATGGACAGAGGAACCCAGTGGGCTACACAGTCCATGGGGTCACAAAGAGTTGGACACAACTGAAGTGACTTAGCACACACACAGAAGGACCTTAAAGGTACTATGCTAAGTGAAACAAGTCAGCCAGATAAAGACAAATAGTACATGATCTCACTTATATGTGGAGTCTAAAATAAAACAAAGGAGTTCCCTGGTGATCCAGTGGTTAGGACCTAGTGCTTTCACTGCTGTGGCCTGGAGTTCAACCCCTGGTCGGGACCAGGTCCACCAAGCCATGCAGCAGGGCACAGATAGATAGATAGACAGATGATAGGTTAGAATTTTTAAAAAATGAACTCACAGATACAGGGAACACATTGGTGGTTGCCAGGGTTGGGGGGAGGGGTCAGGGGGGTAAAACTTTTTTAAAAAGACTTCTCTTTCCCAGCTGAGAAATGGGCTCCGCTCCTTGCGCTGGGCTTCCACAGCCCAGGTCTCACCATCTGTGTCCCTCCTGCCCTGACATCACCTGGGCTCTGGACCCAGACATAAAACTGTCCCTTTAATAGCCCCATGTGGGTGGTTCATGGCATCTTGAGCTGATTAAGGCCTAAGGGCTCTCGTCTCCCTTCCTCCAAACCTGCCCCTCCCACAGGCTCCCTATGTCTCACTTCCAGTCTCTAAGGCTCCCAATCCAGGTCTCATCCTCAGCGCCTCTCTAGCTTTCACATCCCACCTGCCAGCTCCATCTTCAGCATCCCCGCTGAATCTGCCCAGTTCTCACCGTCTCCACAACTTTGCCACCTCCTGGATCTCCAAGATTCCACCTTCTCCCTCCACAAGCTGTTCCTCACAAAGTCGCCAGAGGGCGCCTGTGAGCACCTGCATCAGGTCTCCACCCTTGTTTGCTCAGAGCCCTCCGTGCCTCCCACCTCACTCGGAGCAAAAGTTCAAATCCTCCTTGAGGCCCACAAGGCCCTCCGGGATCTTCTCCCATCACCTCGTTGCCCTTGTCTCCTCCTGTTCAGCCCCATACTGGCCTCCTCACTGTTTCTCGAACACACGAATCGCACTCCAACCTCCAGCCTTTGCATATACTGTTCCTTTTGCCTAAAATGCTCTTCCCCAGTTCCTTACAAGGTTCCTCCCTTGCCTCCTTGTGGCCTTTATTCAAGTGTCATTTCTTCGGTGGGCCTCTCTGATCCTCTTAACTAAAGTTGCGAGGGACCTTTGTATGTGTCTTATGCCAGGCCTGCCTCCCTCCCACCAGGCATGCCTGGGTGGCAGGCCTGCCCTGCTCACCTCTCTCTGCAGCATCTCCTTCTCAGCCTGGAAGGCCTTCAGGGAGTTCTGTGTGCGGATCAGCTCATCCTCCCGGCTGCCCAGGGCCAAACGCAGCCAGGCATTCCTTTCAGCCAATCTGGCTGCCTCCCGCTGGCAGCTCCCAGCCCCCTCCTGCTCCAAACAGGGCTTTGGTGCCCCCTGGCTTCTGTCCTTTGCCTCCACTGGCCCAGGACAGTTTGGGGGACGGTGGCGCCAGGCAGCAGCAGCTGCTTCCAGAGAGCTCAGCGCTTGCTGGAGAGTCTGAAATACATCAGGTCCAGAGGGGACGCTCTCCCCATCCTGTGGGGCTGCCTCTGGGGCCTGGTGGGTTTCCTCATGGGGCCGCCCCTCAGGGGCTGGGGCTGGTCCCCTGCTAGAGTCCCCATCAACTTCTTTGTCAGTCCTGCGAAGAGGTGAAGGATGGAAATTTCTGGAAATGGGGTCACCTGGGATAGCTAACACACAAAGGGTTTGTTACAAGGCTAGCACTGCATCATACAGGGCCTTGAAAGTCAGGCCAAGGGCAATGGGAGCCATGGCATGTGTGTGAGTCGGGGAGGGACATAAAAACCATCTATGGGTGGGAAAGATGTGCCAGGCCTGCAGACCAAGTGGGCCTTACCTGCTCTCCAAGCCCTGCCCTTTGGCCTCCACCTCAGGGCCCAGCAGTTCCAGCTTGGCGCTATCTTGAGATGCCACAGGGCCTGGCTCAGAGCTCCCACTGGCTGCCTCAGCCTCCTCTGAACTCTCTGCCACAGGGTCCAGCTCACCCTGCAAATGATCCCCAGGGCTGAGCTCTGAACCAGGCAGATCTGGGTGCTGGGATCTTGCAGGGTTGGGTGTGGCAGGGAGGGGAACACTTACGGGCAGAGCGTGTCTCCCTCGCCGGCTTCGGGGCCGTGTGGCCCTGGCACTCATTGTTATCCAGAAATCAGTGTCTTCTGAATCCTCCTTTATCCTCACCCACTAAAACTACAACCTGATTTCAGCTCAAAGCAAATGACAACCTTAATTTCCTCTTCTGTGAAATGGGCATTGATTTCACTTCTCCAAAAGGATCTTGAGTTATTAATGTGGATTTGGCGCATTTGAATGCCTCCCTTGATGGTCAGCTCACTACCTCTCAAGGTTGCCCTGACCTCTTCCTTCGTTTCTGTCTCCTTTATTTTCCTCTCTCTCTTTGATCCCTTGCCTCCCCTATCTGGGCTTGGGAGGAGGAGTTCAACTGTCCTCTCTTCTCCCCAGGGCTCTCCTGAACCAGAGATTCTAATCCTGGGATTTGGTTCCCTCAGCCCGCTCTACTTCCCTGTTCTCTTGGGGGGTACCTTGGTCAGAAAACCAAGTCCCTGGACATTCTTGGGGTCACTCTGACCACTGCCCGCTCAAGCTTGGGCTGGCCAAGGCCAGCCTGGGAGGGGCCGGGAAACAGGAAGCCTCCTTCCCTGGCCATGTGACTTGCTATTGTGTAGTTTCCTCTTCAAGGACAGCGGCTTCCTCCAGCCCTAGCAACAGGACACATGTCCAGCTCCCAAGATGCCCGTCCCTCCTCGCCTCTGCTTCCAAGGCCACGGCTCCTCCAACTCTGACCCTGAGATTTTATTTCTTGGAAGCTAGAGTGCTCCTCTGGGCTGATGCTCTTCACTTGGCCTCTGACTGTCCCTTAAGCGTCAGCGTTCTCGTTCCACTTCAAGTCACAGACAGATCTGGGGTTGGTCCCCCTGAGCAAGCGATGGTCCCTTCTGAGCCCCAGTTTCTTTGTCTTCCTTCAGTGTCACGGGAGGTTTTTGTTTTGTTTTTTCAAAACAAAAAAATTTCTTTTGAAATATAGCTGATTTACAATGTTGTATTAGTTTCAGGTATGCAGCCATTATTCTTTCTTTTAGAATATTGCAAATTCTTTTTTATCCCTTCTCAGGTCCTTTCCATTATAGGATTACAAAATACTGAATATAATTCCCTGTGCCTTTTGTAGGTCCTCGTTGTTTATTGTATATAGTGTGTACCTCTTAATCTCAAACTCCTAATTTATTTCTCCCCCAGCTTCCCCTTTGATAACTATAAATCTGCTTTCTTATGTCTGTGAGTCTATTTCTGTTTTGTAAATAAGATCATTTGTATCATTTTCCCCCAAATTTAACTGCACACCTTGTATTTTATTTTTAAAATAAAAAAGTTTATTTATTTATGGCTATGCTGGGTCTTCATTGCTGCGTCAACTTTTTCCTCGAGTTGTGGTGAGCGGGGATACTCTCTGTTTGGGGTATGCGGGCTTCTCATTGCCATGGCTTCTCTTGTTGCGGAGCAGTTTCGAGGCACACAGGCTTCAGTAGTTGCAGCGCATGACTCAGTAGTCGTGGCTCCTGGGCTTCAGAGCACAGGCTCCGTAGCTGTGGAGCATGGGCTTAGTTGCTCCACAGCATGTGGATCTTCCTGGACCAGAGATCAAACCAATGTCCCCTGCATTGACAGGCAGATTCTTTACCACTGAGCCACCAGGGAAGCCATGTATCATTTTTTAAGATTCCACATATAAGTGATATCCCTGGAGAAGGACATGGCAACCGGCTCCAGTATTCTTGTCTGGAAAATCCCATGGACAGAGGAGCCTGGCGGGTTACAATCCATGGGGTCACAAAGAGTCAGACACAATTGAGCAACTAAACAGCAGTATAAGTGATATCATATATTTGTCTTTGTCTGACTCGCTTCATGCAGTATGATAATCTCTAGGCCCGTCTCTGCTGCTGCAAATTTCTTTCTGTTTTGTGGCTCAGTAATATTCCAGTATATATATATATATAGTATATTGTATATATTGTACACATTGTATATAGATACATGTATATGTATATATACCTCTATGTGCTTAGTCACTCAGTCGTGTCTGACTCTTTGTGACCCCTTGGACTGTAGCCCGTCAGGCTCCTCTGTCCATGGGCATTCTCCAGGCAAGAATACTGGAGTGGGTTGCCATACCCTCCTCATATACATACATATACACACATATATGTGTATTTATATATATATATATATATAATGTGTGTGTATATATGTGTGTATATGTGTATACATATATATGTATATGTATACATATATATGCATATATGTTTGCATATATATATATATTTGCACATGGTCAGGCACCATCAGAGAACTGAAAAGTAAGGCGCCCTCCTTGTTCCCTGCTGCCTCTCTGACCTCCCCATCTCTGGTTCCTCTGTTTCTCCTCCATAAATGCTGAATTCCTCAGATCCCAGATGATTCCTGCATCCTGTTCATTTTCCCTGCATCCACCTCTAAAGGGCCTCTTCCGCATCTCCATCCACAGTCAGCGCTCAAGCCTCCCTCCCCAAGGTGGACGCCAGCCCAGCCCCCTCCCAGGGCTCCCAGGACCCAGAGACAGATCTCACTGTTCACCTCCCTGGCTCACACACCCTCCGTGGCTCCCCACCGCCCTTGGGAAACATTTCATGCTCTTCAGCCTGGCATTCAAGGTCTTCAATAAAATCATGCATGCGGGTGGCACCAGTGTGTACTCCCGTCTCTAGCCACGATAACCTCTTCCACGAACAGCTGAAGCTTCTCAATTCCCTCACACCCTGGTGCCTTTGGCCATGCCTTAACCTTTGCCTGAAACACCCCTTCCTTGTGCATTTGACGTAAACTGTGCATAGCCTGGGGTAGTCTGAATCTTTCTGGTTCCACTGACAGACTCTACTAGGCTGAATCTTCCTACCTCCGTTCCCCCAAAGGTCGTAGCGAGAGAAGTTCGCAATTTTGTGACTTGAGGGTGAACTTTAAAATTCTCACTCTTAGCCTCTGTTCCAGCCACATTAACCGATGAGAGACAGCTCCAAAGCTCCTCAAAACCTACAATCTGTTGCCCAGGCGGTTCCTTCTGCCTGGAATGACCTTACCCCTCTTGTTTTTTCAGCAAATTCTCCCTCCTTCAAAGTTCATTTTACACAGCCCCTCCGGACTCTCTTTGAACCGGAGTTTAGCTGATGTGGGCAGGTTTAACAGATTTTAACAAGAAACTGAGGCTCAGTTTTTAGGTGGTTATGGAGCTGAGGGGAGAAGTGTGCATGAAGAAAGGAAGGGTGGCTTGAAATAGTTCTGGCTTGGCGTTTTTTTAATTTTTGCAAATATATGTAAAATAAGAAGCTTATTTAAATAATTGGGAGGGGCCTTGGGATCCGGACCACGCCCACCTCTGCCGCAAAATCCCCTCACTGAGGTTCGGTCAAGTCCATCAATCACCAATCAGCCCCTCCTCTTCTAAATCCCGCCCAATTCAGCCCCACTTTGTTTAATCACACGGTAAACTAGGTCTTCTCCATCTCTCTGAGCCTTTCCCATTGTAAATCTCACTCCACTCTGCCTCGATTCACCCTATCACGTCAGAAGGGCTGACCACCGTAATCTGAATCGGCCAGAAACACAAAAACTCCTCCTTGTCTCACTTTAGCCAATCGCATCCCAGATCCTGCCCCACTCGACTCCCACTCCAGCCTATCACAATCCAAATCCCGCCTCCTGGAACAGTCTCACCCTATCAGCTTCCAAGGCTCTCCAGCCTCGTCCCATTCATCTCTCCGCTCGGCTTTCGGCCGCTGAACTACAGTTCCCAGTAGGCGTGACGGCCGCACCGAACTACTTCCGGCTGCTAAAGATGGCGGCTTCCTAGCGGGTCAGCGGATGAGTAGGAAGGAGGCTCAGGCAACGGTGAGCAGAAGTTGGGTGGTGAAAGCGTGCGGGATCCGTCCTTAAAGGCCCACCTTCCTTAGCTCCAGAAATTCAGCCTCTCATTTGCTCTGAGGCTTCCGCCTTCAGCTCTCGTTTCTCCTGCAGTCTAGCCTCCATCTCTCTTGCTGCAGCTATGCTTTCCTTAGAGATTATGGGGGCTGCAAGGCGCTCAGAGATCATCCCCAGCAGCCCTCACCAATTGCCTAGACAGACAAACTGTTCCACTGGAGCCCCGTTTTTCCGCAAAGGAATTGCACACCTCTCCAGTGTGCAGACACCGCCTAAGCAGTCACTATGGAGGGGAGAACCCTAGAAGTTTGTATCCTTTATTCCCCAAGACATTTTCAGTTTCAGGTGGCAGAACCCCCAACTCAGTCTGGCTTAAGCAAAAAAGGGAATTTAGGCATAGCTGGCTCCGGGCGCTGAGAAGTCTTTCATTTTCTGGGTGAGCATCACTTCAGGCAAGCTCTCTTTCCCCTCTTGGAAGCAAGAGAGGCTCCTAGCAGCTTTGGACTTGTATCCTTCCAGTACTGCAATTCGGAACTGCCCCTCTCTGGCATGTTCTGGGTCACGTCCTCATCTCTGAGCCATTCACAGTGGCCAGTGGAGCACCCTAGCCAAAAGGGGGAGAGGAGGGGTTAGTTCTACGAAAAAAAAAAAGGGGAGGCTGTTATCTCAAGTCAGAGTGGATGCTGGGTTGGTAAGTGTAAAAGGCACCCATCCTACAGATGAGGAAACTGAGTCCCTGAGCAGAGTGACTCCTATTGTTAGTAAGAGACTCATGACCTGTTCTGCTCAGTAACCACATGCTTTTAAAAGCCCTAAGGAAAGGATCCTGGCTTCCCTCATCCCTGCTGCATCCAGCCACTCCGGAGCCATGGAGGTGGCAGAGCCCAGCTGTCCCACGGAAGAGGAGGAAGAAGAGGAGGAGGAAGAGGAGCAGTCAGCTGAGCCCAGGCCCCGCACTCGCTCCAACCCTGAGGGGGCTGAGGACCGGGCGCTGGGGGCCCAGACCAGTGTGGGCAGCCGAAGTGAGGGTGAGGGCGAGGCAGCCAGTGCTGACGACGGGGCCACCAACCCTCCAGGAGCCGGTCCCAAGCCGTGGCAGGTACCTCCACCAGCCCCAGAGATCCAGGTGCGGACCCCAAGGGTCAACTGTCCAGAGAAAGTGGTAAGTAAGAGGTTTGGCCTGTGGCTTTGAGATGTTAGGGAACCTTGGGTTAAATGTCATTCTTTAGGATTCACTCTGGAAAACAGTCTCTTTCTATTAGTGTCCTAGGGCAGCTGGGCTTCCCAAGTGGCTCAGTGGTAAAGAATCCACCTGCCAATGCAGGAGATGCTGGTTCAATCCTTGGGTTTGGAAGATCCCTTGGAGAAGGGCATAGCAACTCACTCCAGTGTTCTTACATGGAGAATCCCATGGACAGAGGAGCTTGGAGGGCTACAGTCCATGGGGTCTTAAAGAGCTGGACACAGCTGAAGTGGATTCAGTAGCCCTGCGGCATGTGGGATCTTAGTTCCTTGACCAGGGGTCAAACCTTTGTCTGCTGCGCTGGAAGGCGGATTCTTAACCACTGGACCCCCAGGGAGGTCCCTCAGCTGCCTCCTTCTGGAGTGGACGGCTTGGCTGGGGACTGGGGCTCATCATATAG